CACGAGAAATCCGCGGGCGCAGCACACAGACCCGAGGGTCCTCGCTCCCTTGCTTGCTTGCTGCCTCGCTCCGGCGCGGGCTCAGTAGTAGGCCGGGCTGGCTCAGGCAGGCTCAGGCTGGGTTGGACCCTGCCTGCCTGCCTGCTTGGCCACCGAGTTCGCTTGTCCTCGTTCGCTCGTCGTCCCCCCCTCCCGACGGCCATACCCTCGCTCCTCGTCGTCGTGCGGCCACATCCATCGAGCCTCTCGGGCCATCACCGCGCTCCCCCCACCCCCGTAGCCTCCCCGCCAAGGACATGCCGCTGCACCTGGCCCAACACAAGTCCTACCACCCCTACAGCCGCCAGAACCAAGAGCGAGTCGAGCGCGACGAGGCCATCGCCGCACTCGAGCGGGCGCACCAGCACTCGTCCGCCTTCACCGCGCAGGACCAGGCACGCCTCGACCTACTCCGAAAGCAGGCGGCGCGCAACTCAAACCGCGGCTCGGAGCGAGACTCGAGGCTCAGGGCAGCAGAGAGAGAGGTCCTCGCCGGAAAAGCCGGAGAGCTAGACCGCCACGACGCCCTCTTCAACGCCCGCCGCAAAGGCCAAGACCAGGTCCGACCCCTTCCCAGCAGCAGCAGCGCATCCATCGTAGACGCCGCAGGCCACATCAACTTTTGGGCCCACGAGGATCCGACATCCACCTCGACCTCGACCTCGGCCTCGACCTCTCGCCGCCACCGTCAGAACCCGGATCACCTCAGGGAGCAGCAAGAGGCGCGCCTCAGGTTCGAGGAGAGCGTCGGCGCCAGCCTCGGCCGTCCAGCCAGCGAGCTACGACCCTGGTACACCAATGCCGATCTCCAGAACGGCGAGGAACGCAAAAAGACCGACGAACAGAAGCTCGAGGCCGCCTACAGGGAGAGCGCCAGAAAGACGTCGAGCGACCCGCTAAAGGCCATGGAGAGCTTCCTCTCGAAGCGCAAACAGGCACAGCAAAGGCAGCGCAGCCAAGAACGCCAACTCCAGACGCCCTCTGCCGCCGCTCGCGGCTTCGACGACGACGACGACGACGACGACGACTTCAACGAAGAGTACTCGGACCTCTTCAACCGCGATGCCGTCCGCGCCGCAAAGCGAGGCCGTGATCGGAGCAGCAGGGAGGAGGAAGAGCGAGGTCGTTCCGATCTCGGAGAGCGCAGGCGCTCGTCCGGGACCGGCAGTAAGGACGGCCGGCATCGTTCCCGAAGCCGCCGAGACGACTCCGACCACGACGGGAAAAGCAGCCACCGCAAGCGCCACGGCACTGCCCGATCGCGCTCTCGATCCGCATCGCCCTCTAGCCGCGGAACCCGGGGGCGACACCGCGAATCTCGCGTCGGCGGAAGCAGCAGGAGAGGCGAAGAAACCTCCGATTGCGGCCCTTTCCGGCGTCATCGCGACCGAAGGTGAAGCAGTGGCTGTTGGGACCAGCCCGCGCGAGGCAGAAGCAGGCACTCGCGCAGCAGACACCTCGACCGGTAGCACACGACAAGGGCCCGATGCGCCCCATCCCTATTCCGACGCTCGAGGTCGGATCATCGACGGCGACAACGACGGCGGCGACGACGACGACGACGACGACAAGGCGAACCAGTCGCTCGACAGCTGCGGTACCACCGGCAGCAGCAGCAGCGAGGACAGGGGTCCGCCGACCCCCTCGGCCATCGGCGAGAACCCATACCGGCCTGGATCGAGGTCGTCGATGTACCCCGAGCTGTTCCAGGAGATGGTGTGCACCGTGCTCGAGTCCGAGTCCTACCTCTTCTCCAACGCCGAGGTCGACCTGCTCTCGGCGTTCTTCATGCTGTCGTACGCCGCCCGCTACCTCTTTGTCCGCCTGCTGCAGCGCAAGCGCGACGCCTGGTACCGCCTCGACAGGCTCACGGCCTACGAGCAAGAGATCGGCGACTTGCGGCCGGCAAAGGACGAGCTGGCCCGCTCCCTCCGGCCACCGGCCAAGACCGGCCCGAAGATTGAGCACGCCAGGCGAGAGGAGGAGTCGAGGCGCCTCCAGGCGATACAGAGAGGGGCAACAGGCGGCCTCGGCGCGGGCGGCCGCGACGGCGATGTCGGCGACATCGGCGACGAGGACAAGGAGAACCTCGTGCAAGCGCTGACGCTGCCGGAGCTCCAGCGCAACCTGCACCTCGATGAGTCGACCGGCCTCTCGCAGCCGGGCGCCAAGCGGACCTCCTTGGCAGCGGCGGACAGCAACGCGCGCCGGACCGCGAGCGCCGCTGCCGGCCATACCGCTCAGGACAGAAAGGCGGAGGGCGGCGACGACGGCCACGCGCTGTCCCGCTTCGTCCTGACCGAGGCCGACATGCACGGCGGCGCCGAGGAGTCGATGTCGCTGCTGACCCTCGACGAGCTCAAGGTGCTCGCCAAGAAGCTCAACATCGCCAAGACCGGGACGACGCGCGCGCAGCACATTGCCGCGCTCCTGGCGACCAAGAGCCAGTCGACGCTCTTCAGCGCGCCGTCGCCGTCCAAGAAGGGGACCGCCGTCGCCGCCAACTCGGCAGGCGGCGGCCGGCAGCTGACGCTCAACTTCGGCTCCTCTGGCAAGAAGGCGGCGCAGGCCAACCGGCTGCGAGAGGAGCTCGCCGAGGTGCTGCGGGGCGGGTGCATCCAGGTGGTGCCCGAGGTGCGCTCGCTGGTGGACCGCGTTGCGCTCGTCTACTACCGCGGCAACCTGCTCGGCAGCGCGGCGCTGACGGCGGCCATCCTGTCGCGCTCGCGCCGCCGCAACTACCCCATCTACGGCTTCCGGCGGTCCGGCTTCCTCTTTCCCTCGCGCGACCACCTGATCGCATTCGAGCGGGCGCTCGAGATCGAGGCGAGGATGGAGCACCTGATCCAGTTTGGCAAGTCGGAGCGCGACCACCGCGAGGCGCTCGAGCTCTTCGAGAGCGTCTACCCGGAGTGGCAGGCGTGCGTCGACGAGTGCGTGCGCGCCCACCCAGACGGCGTCGACAAGCTCGTCTATCACCGGATGCGCTTCCACCCGGGCTGGGTCCTGTCGCGCGTCGTCTACAAGGGCGCCGCGTGCCTGGCGAGGTTCAAGCTGCACGACCGCGAGCGCGACGTCCTCACCCGGCTGCTCGACCAGCGCGTCTTTCGCCGCGGCCGCCGCGGCGACTGGTACGACCGCCTGGCGCTCATCACGGCCCTCTACTCGGACGACGCCCGGCGCGGCAAGAAGGAGGCGCTGCGCATCTCGATCCGCGGCATCCAGGACCCCGACACCCACCTCATCTACCACGACACGCTGCAGCGCCGCATCGGCCGCCTCGAGAGCCAGCTGCGCGTGCCCCGCTCCGAGCAGCACGACTTTTCGTACGCCAAGCTCAAGCGCACCACCGAGGTCGTCTTTGAGGGCGTGAGGCTCGACGTGATGCTCGACCAGGACGACCCCGGCCGGGATGGCGGCGGCGACAGCCCCGGCGCCAGGATGAGCAGCTTCCTCGGTCGCCAGCCCGCGCGGTCCAGCTCGCCGTCGCCGTCGAGCGCCAAGACGATGCGACGGTCGGCGAGCGAGAGGAGCCTCGGAGGCAGCCCGCTCAAGCGGCAGCAGAGCGACGAAAAGTCGCCGTCGCCCTCGGGCTTCCAGGTGCGCAAGCCGCTCTTCAAGCGCGTCAAGGTCGAGACGTTTGCTCCGACGGCCAAGCAGGAGCCGGCTCCGGAGGTGCTGCCGCCGATCAAGGACGAAGCCGGTCAAGGCGGCCGTGCTGCGCCAGGAGAAGGGGATGTGGGCGCCGGCTACAGCGCCCCGTCGTCGTCGCCGTCGTCGCCGTCGGCCAATGACCACGTTGCCGGGGCCTCGGCCGCCGCGACGACCCCGACCCGACCGACGGCGGCCGTCAAGCGGGAAGAGTCGAGCGACTCGCTGACCGACGACCTGGCGCTGGATGGCATCGACGCGCCGGCGCTGCTGCAAGAGGACCCGACGCTCTTCAGCCTGGGCCTCAACAGCGCCGCCGAGCTGACGCCCGTCGAGACGCGCAAGGAGACGCGGTCGAGCATGCGCAGCGTGTGGCGCGGGCTCGACGGCCGGCCGTGCCACGTCGAGCAGCTGTGCCTGCAGCACTACGCGCAGCAGGGGTTCCGCGGCTCGCACTGCGAGGGCAAGGTGCTGACCATGATCTTTGCCCTCGTCATGTGGGACGTCCTGTTCCGCTCCGACGTCGAGGGCGCCTTTGAGACGCCGTTCCAGGCGGCGCCGCTCGACCTGGGCTCGGACGCGTTTGCCGTCGTGCGGTCGCGCGAGATCCGCGAGCGGCTCGACGAAATCGAGCGCACGGGCGGGCTGCACCTCATCGCGCGCGCCGACGACGAGCAGCGGCCACGGCGGACGTGGGCCGTCGGGTGCCGGTGGGACCTGTTTGGCAGGGAGGAGCTGCTCGAGGTGGCCCAGTGTCTCGGCGGGCGCGCCATCGCCGTCGTGTGCCAGATGTTTTGCGAGGAGTGGGAGCACTGCACCGGCGGCATGCCCGACCTCGTCATCTGGCGCATGCGCGACCGCTGCGTCCGCTTTGTCGAGGTCAAGGGACCCGGAGACCGCCTCAGCGAGACGCAAAAGGTGTGGATCGACGTCCTCCTCCGCGCCGGCGTCGATGTCCAGGTCGGCCTCGTCGTCGAGGCCGCCGGTGATGGCGGTGGCGCTGCCGCGGCACGGGGCGGACAGTAGCAACTAGAGGTGTGTCGTGTTGTGGCTTCGATGGAGATGCGAGGGAATGCTACACTCGCGGGATTAGCAGCGTGAGAGTGCGTGTGCGTGTGCGCGGCCGCGGGATCGCATCATTCCATCGCCTCATCGTCATCGTCGTCGTCGTCGTCGACGGCGGCCCCTTCCTCGTCCGGGCCATCGGCACCATCTCCCTCTTCCGCCTCTTCGTCGTCGCCGTCCTCCTCCTCCTCCTCCTCCTCCTCCTCATCGTCTTGCTCCTCGTCCTCCTCGTCCTCGTCCTCATCATCATCACCCGCATCGTCGACCCCGTTCAACTTACCCCTTAGCACCTCGCCATCTTCCCCGTCCCTCCTCTGCTTCTTCTTCGACTCCTCCCCGTCCTCGTCCGCGTCGTCATCCTCGACGGTGTTGGTCATCCTCGACACGTCGGCGTCCATGCTCTCGTCCGCCCCCGCCGCTGTTGCTGCTGCGGCAGACGATTTCGAGGTGGCCGACACGGCCTTGCCCTTGCCCTTGGCCTTTTTGCTCGACGTCGCCGCGGCCGTCTCGGTCGTCTCTGCCGCCGCCGTCGTCGAGGTGGGAGCCGAGGCGGGTGACTTTCGTTTCGACTTTTGCAGACCGCGGTAGGCTGTTTTCGTCGTCGTCGTGGAGAGCAGGCAGGGCAGTGGCAGGTCGCGAAGAGGGAGGCAGATCAGCTTCGGAAAGAAAGGTTCCGCCTGCGATGGCGCGACCCCTGATAGCGAGGTGAGAGCGGGAGGAAGCGAGGTCGGGCACGGCACGTACCTTCGAGGTCCTTTTTCAGCTCGGCGCGGAACTCGTCGGGCAGCTCGAGCTCGCGCACGGCCTCGAGGACGTTGGCGGCCGAGATCGTCTTGAGGTTGCGGCTGGTGGCCTGGTCGTGCGCCGTCGCCGTCAGGTACGAGATAAAGACGGTCGACGCCTTGACGAGCGCCGTGACGACCTCCTTGCGCAGCTGCACCGACTCTGGGATCTGCGCGAGTGCGTGTGCGTGTGCGTGTGCGCAGATCAAGCAAAGGAAGGGTGAGGAGCCTGTGTGAGCGCGGTGCATGGACGGACCGGGGAACCTCGGCCACGGCGACGCACCTCTGACTTTGCGAGGCGGACAATGACGCTCTTTGGCAGCTCAAACTGGTCGATGCCCTGGTCCTTGAGCGCCTTGTTTTGCTGCGTCTCGACCCGCTTGGCCGTACTCGCCAGCCCGCCATAGCTCAGCCCGCCTGCTGCTCCCCCATTGGCGTTGGCGTTGGCGTCGGTGCCGCCGCCGCCCTCTTCGTTGTTGGACGCAGCCGCAGCGGCCACCGAGGCCGACGAGGCCGACTTGGGAACGTACTTGCGTGGCATCTCCCGGCGCTGGTGCTGTGAGGAGGCGGGGGGTTGGAAGGCGATCACGTTGTTCGGTGCGATGGGCTCGTGTTGTGCTGCTGGACGGGGAGAGGCGTTGATCGTGACGGTGATGGTGGTGGTGGTGGTGCGGCGGGAAACGGGAGGCAGCGCAAGAGAGCTGGCTCCTGGCCTGCAGCAGCCAAGTCGGAATGCCTCGCCAGCCAACCCAAGCCCGAGCCCACAGCCCCGCTCTGCCAGGCTAGTTACAGGCAGGCCAGGCCAGGCCTGCAACGCGTCGCGCGTGGCCCCCCAGCCAATTTCGTTTCAATTTGGACGCAGGCTCACTCGCTCGAGCCAGGCACGCCAGGCACGCCAGGCAGGCAGTCCGGGCCAACCAAAGAAACCGGGGGCAAAAGGAGGGTTAAATTCGCTGCGGCTGCTCGCTCGCCGTCCGACGGCCCTCGTCGCACCGCCCGACAACTCGGGATCGAGAGACGAGACGGACGGACGATACACGACGGGAGAACATCGAGGCGTGCTAGCGGCAGCACGCAGGAGGAGGGAGCTTTTGCCGGAGCGGGCGGGGATGTGGCGTCAAGGGGTCTGGGGGAAAGAGGCTGTGGGAGGGGGAGATGAGAGCAAACAAAGTGGCGCGCGTATGACGGCCATCGCGGCGGGGACGGACACGAGTGGAAGGGACAGATGGTTGGGGAAACTCGAAGGCAAGGGGTGGGAGGAGGGGACGGGGAAGCGGGCATGGCGTCGGAGCGAGATGGCCGCACAGAGGCGACGATGGAGCGTGTCAAGGGCAGCCACCCTCTCGTCCGCCTCGCTGCCGGGCGACTGTGGCTGCAGCAGCTGTAGCTGCAAGCGGTGCGCGGTACCGACGACGGATGGAGTGTACGAGGTTGGCTGATCAGGCCGAGCGGCGTCGCGCGGCCCTTTGCCATCGGCGCCGAGCGGAAGTCGGAAGCGGGCGATGGTTGCGGTGCGCTGGCGGCGGTTGAAGATGGCCCGGACGGCAACCGAGGCGACCAGGATGGAGGATAGCGCTGCGTGCGCCGGCTTGCTGTTGTTGCAATGGAGTTGTGGTAGCCGCGCAGCGGTGACGGCGATGCCGGCGCGGGCTTGGCCAGAGCACGAAGGTCGGGAGGCTTCAACCGTGTCCGACGGGGAGTGGGACCGAAGCAGCCACACGGTGCGGCGCTGCGGTACCAGAGGACGAGGGAATGAACTGCCTGCAAGAGGTCGCAGGCAGAAACGGTGACTTCGCTTGTCCCTTTGGTGACCGGAAGAGGTGGCGCCGGAAGACGAGGAGGACCGAGAGTTGAAGAGGGCGGCGTGACTGGTTGCGGCCAGCGCCGGCCGCTGGGCGCGTTGCGAGGTGATGCGGTGCGATGCGCCACGGCACGTTGTGTCGAGAAAGATGCCGTGCCGTGACGAGTGGATGGCGCGCCCCGAAGCGCATCGGATGACGGGGCGGAAGGCGTGGCCAATGACGGAAGGCAGGTCGACGAGGATTCTCGGAGAGGTACAGGGTTATCCTTCGGTGTTGATACAGAGACAGAGAGAAGGAGAGAAAGAGAGAAAGCGTGCTGGCGTAGGACGAGACGAGATCATGCAGGTGGTATGGTCGAGAAACAGTGCCGTGCCAGCGGGCAGGGAAGATGGACGGTGGCAGCCGGATCGTACGGCACCGCGCCGGGGCGAGACGTGGGTGGTTGCGGCCCACGGTGCCGAGAGCTGCGTTCACGTGGATGTCTGCGACGGTGGGCGACAGCCTCTCATCATCCGCCGTCCTCGCTGTATGCAAAGGGCGGGGCTTGGAGAATGCGAGAGTCGAGCGCCCGCCGAGGCAGGCACGGGCAGTAGCGCTTTATAATTTGACGCTAGGCCCTCGGATAGAAAGGATGAGGGAGCCGGATCGAGAGGGTGATGGTTCGAGGAGACGTGGGGACGCCGAAATGCTGGGAAGACGGACGTCGGTGAGTCGGAGTCGGAGTCGGTCAGAGGGGTGGCGAGGCGAGATTTGCGATGGCGACGGCGCGGCAGCAGCAGTGGGACTGAGGGAGTCGCATAGCTGCTTCGAGAGATGCCCGAGCCGCCATCAAACAGAGAACTTGACGCCGCCCATCATGCGGACGAGCAGGCTCTCGACCGTGGCGCCGGGCTCGATGGTCTTCTTGGCCTCGACGTGTGCGGCAGGCACCTCCTTGGCAGCCACAGCGACAGCGGCAGGGGCCGGAGGGCTAGGGGGCTCCAGGTGGATCTCGGCAGGCGCGGTGGTGCTGCGAATGGTGCGCCTGGCCTCGTACTCGTCATCCTCGCTGCCAGAGCCGCTGCTGGACGAGCCGGAGCCGGAGCCGGAGCCGGCGCCCAGCGACGACGGAGGAATCGAGCCAGAGCCGTTGTCGACCTTGTTCATACGCGTCGAAAACTTGGGAGCCGGCAGGCTGGCCGGCGAAGGCGAGTTGTGGAAATTGGGACCGGCATAGGCGATGGCCGCGGCGACCGATGGGTGCTGGCCACTCTGCTGCTGCTGCTGCGGCTGGTGGTGGTGCGGCTTCTTGGCGGGCGTCGAGGGCTGCTGCTGAAGGCCATTCTCGACCGAAGCAAACGAGACAGCGGCCGACTGCCCGCGGCGGTGGTTCTTGCCGGACGTGGCATGGTCGGACGAGCTGTTGAACAGGTCGTCGATGTGCAGAGGCACGTCACCGCCGCTGCCGCCGCCGGCCTGCTTGCCACGGGCCGATGCCTTGGCAGCGTTGGCGGCCTTGCCGGCGACTGCGGCGGAGGGGCCTGAGCCGACGCTGCCTGCGCGCGCACGGCGACGTGTCTTGCCCTCGACGAGGACACAGCCGCTGCCGCCGCCGAACGTCTCGGCGTCGCGGGCGTCGGCAAAGACATCGTACTGTGGGCCGTTGCGCCTCTTGGCGCCGCCACCGCCAGCGCAGCAGCAGCAGCAGAGTGGCCAGCACCCACTCGGTCGCCGCGGCCACTCGCCTATGCCGGTCCCAACTTTCCTAAACTC